ACCTATTTACGGGGTAATGTTCGGGGTAATTTACTGAGAATTCAATGAGTAATTTACTGAGATTTTCTTGAGTAATTTACCGTGAAATTACGAAAAATTTCTTCGAATTTTCTAAATAATTTACTGAGGATTTATGAGGAATTTACTGAGTAAGTAATTGAGAATTTACTGAATAATTTACTAAGAATTTACTGGGAATTTATTGAGAATTTTGTAACTAATTTTCTTGGTAATTTACTGAGAATTTTCTGGGAATTTACTGAGTAATTTAATGAGAATTTACTTAGTAATTTATCGAGTAATTTACTGTCAATTGACTGAGTGATTTACTTCGAATTTACAAATTAATTTATTTGCCAATTTACTGGTTAATATTCTGAGTAATTAATTGAGAATTTATTGGGAATTTCTTAGGAATTTAGTTTGTAATTTACTGAGAATTTCCTTAGTAATTTACAGAGAATTTTCTAAGTAATTTACATCGTAATTTACTGAGAATTTTCTGAGTAATTTAATAAGAATTTACTGAGTAATTTACCGAGTAATTTACGGGGAATTTAATGAGTGATTTGCTTCGAATTTACTGCTTAATTTATTTACCAATTTATTGGGTAATGCTCTGAGTAATTTACAGAGAATTCAATGAGTAATTTACACAGATTTTATTGAGTAATTTACCATGAAATTTTGAAAAATTTACGTCGAATTTTCTAAATAATTTACTGAGTATTTACTAGGAATTTATTGAGTAATTAATTGAGAATTTACTGAATAATTTATTGAGAATTTATTGGGAATTTAATTAGTAATTTACTAAGAATTTACAGGGAATTTATTGAGAATTTTCTAAGTAATTTACTTTATAATTTACTGAGAATTTTCTGTGAATTTACTGTGTAATTTAATGAGAATTTACTGAGTAATTTACCGAGTAATTTACTGGAAATTTACTGAGTGATTTACTCAGAATTTTCTGAGTAATTTACTTACCTATTTACTGGCTAATGTTCTGAGTAATTTGCTGAGAATTCAATGAGTAATTTATTGGCATTTCATTGAGTAATTTACCGTGAAATTATGAAAAAATTTCTTCGAATTTTCTAAATAATTTACTGAGGATTTACGAGGAATTTACTGAGTAATTAATTGAGAATTTACTGAATAATTTACTGAGAATTTACTGGGAATTTATTGAGAATTTTCGAACTAATTTACTTTATAATTTACTGAGAATTTTATGTGAATATACTGAGTAATTTAATGAGAATATACTGAGTAATTTACTGAGTAATTTACTGGGAATTTACTGAGTGATTTACTCAGAATTTACTATGTAATTTACTTTGCAATTTACTAGGTAATGTTCTGAGCAATTTGCTGAGAATTCAATGAGTAATTTACTGAGATTTTTTTGAGTAATTTGCCGTGAAATTACGAAAAATTTACTTCGGATTTTCTAAATAATTACTGAGGATTTACTAGGAATTTACTGTGTAATTCATTGAGAATTTACTGAATAATTTATTGAGAATTTCTTGGAAATTTAATTGGTAATTTACGAAGAATTTCCTAAGTAATTTACTGAGAATTTACTGGGAATTTATTGAGAATTTTCTAAGTATTTTACTTCATAATTTCCTGAGAATTTTTTGAGTAATTTAATTAGAATTTACCGAGTAATTTACTGGAATTACTCAATGATTTACTTCCAATTTACTGATTAATTTATTTACCAATTTACTGGGTAATGTTCAGAGTAATTTGCTGAGAAATCAGTGAGTAATTTTCTGAGATTTTATTGAGTAATATACCGTGAAATTATGAAAAATTTACGTCAAATTTTCTAAATAATTTACTGAGGATTTACTAGGAATTTACTGAGTAATTAATTGAGAATTTACTGAATAATTTATTGAGAATTTCTTGGGAATTTAATTAGTAATTTACTGAGAATTTATTGGGAATTTATTGAGAATTTTCTAACTAATTTACTTTATAATTCACTGAGAATTTTCTGGGAATATGCTGAGTAATTTAATGAGAATTTACTGGGTAATTTACCGAGTAATTTGCTGGGAATTTACTGTGTGATTTACTCAGAATTTACTAAGTAATTTACTTTCCAATTTACTCAGTAATGTTCCGGTTAATTTGTTGAGAATCCAATGAATAATTTTCTAAATAATTTACTGAGGATTTACTAGGAATTTACTGAGTAATTAATTGAGAATTTACTAAATAATTTACTGAGAATTTAATGGAAATTTCTTGAGAATTTTCTAACTAATTTACTTTATAATTTACTGAGTAATTTACCGAGTAATTTACTATGTAATGTTCTAAGTAATTTGCTGAGAATTCAATGAGTAATTTGCTGAGAATTCAATGAGTAATTTACTGAGATTTTCTTGAGTAATTTACTGTGAAATTACGAAAAATTTACTTCAGATTTTCTAAATAATTACGAAGGATTTACTAGGAATTTACTGAGTAATTTATTTGGTAATTTACGGAGAATTTCCTAAGTAATTTACTGAGAATTTACTGGGAATTTATTAAGGATTTTCTAAGTAATTTACTTCATAATTTCCTGAGAATTTTCTGAGTAATTTAATTAGAATTTACCGAGTAATTTACTGGAATTTACTGAGTGATTTACTTCAAATTTTCTGATTAATTTATTTACCAATTTACTGTGTAATGTTCTGAGTAATTTACTGAGAAATCAATGAGTAATTTACTGTGATTTTATTGAGTAATTTACCTTGAAATTTTGAAAAATTTACGTCGAATTTTCTAAATAATTTACTGAGGATTTACTAGGAATTTACTGAGTAATTAATTGAGAATTTACTGAATAATTTATTGAGAATTTCTTGGAAATTTAATTGGTAATTTACGAAGAATTTCCTAAGTAATTTACTGAGAATTTACTGGGAATTTATTGAGAATTTTCTAAGTATTTTACTTCATAATTTCCTGAGAATTTTTTGAGTAATTTAATTAGAATTTACCGAGTAATTTACTGGAATTTTACTGAGTGATTTACTTTGAATTTACTGATTAATTTATTTACCAATTTACTAGGTAATGTTCTGAGTAATTTACTGTAATAACCCACATTTATGTCGTAGTCATGTTCATGAACATTGGTATGATTATGACCCGTTAAGCTTGCATTTGCATAATTATGACTTGTTTTGCCTAAGTAAGATCCATGCCTTGTTTTGATGTCTATGTGATTTGTCTAAGTGTTGTGTGCTTGCTTTGTTCCTTCCTTGGTACCCAAGCCTAAGTTATGTTAGCCGTTGTTATGCCAAGCCTAGGTTATGTTAAGCCTAGATCATTCCAAGCCGAGGTCATCGACTTCGACATTCTCTCTGTGCGCATGCGAGGAACGTGCCAAGTCGTTAAGGGCCTCGTCAAAAAATGGAGTTGTTTAACAGTAACCTGATTCCATTTTAAAAGTAAGGGCATTAACATAATTAATTTTTTACTTAATCAAACTTTTTAAATATAATAAAATGCATTCATCCCTGCTTTAATACATTGCACTTGAACAATGGACTTTGAAGCCCAAATTTGTATGAAATTAATATGGTAACCTCGATTGACTATCCCTTTGGGTTTTTCAAAGCCAAGTTTCTGCAAAATTAATTGAATTAGTTAAAATTAAAATTGAAATTTAAACAACATGATTCTTAAATTTTAAGCAAAATTTACCTGCTGATTGCCATCAACGCCATACATGATTGGATATTGTATACCCAAGCCCTCATAATCGACCCCTTTGTTATGGTTTTTAACTATAAGGGGTCCAACACCCAGCGTCTACCAACTTCGAGTAATGAGACTTCATCTTGTTACGCCAACTTTTGTAAAGAGTTTTACACTTTTTATTTTTTTGATTCCTTTTCAACCTCTTCATCCTTATCTAAATCAACAATCTCAAATTTATCTTGCAAATATAATGAATACTTTTATTAATATCAAAATGCAAGTAATTGTGAGAATCTAATTATTTTAAAAATAGCAAATACATGTACCCAAACTGCTCGAATGATGTTGGGGCTTTATGAACCTTATCAATCTTATCCACTTTTTTATACCAATGATTGGTGCAGCCATCCTTATCTGTAAGTCAAGTTCATTTGCAAATGGAGTGGCATAAGACCCACTAGCACCTTTGCATCTGCAAGGATCCAAACATGAAGTTTTTCACCACCATTATTTAACTATGAAAACATGCTATGCTCTTCCCTCGAGTCTGAACCCTTACTTGTCTAGGACGAGTATGCAAACTAGTTTTAAATGGTGCATCCTAGGTAGTAGTTGCATTGTAGATGGTGCAAGCCTGGGTAGTAGTTGCATTTGTAGATGGTGCAAGCTGGATACTTAGAGCATTTGAGATGGTACACTCTGAGGAGAGGGGTTAAATTAGCTTGTGCATGTTGAGTAGGACAGCAACTCTAGCTGCAGCTTGCTGGGTAGGTAGAAGAACTTTGGATGATGCCGCACTTCGACTTTACCAGGACCCACCATCTAGCACAACAATTCAACAATTACATGTGTGAAGCATACGTAAAATAAGCAATTACATAATATCAATGGATGTATAATAGAATAAATATCAAACAATAAGTGATAACTAAAAATAACATGACATAAAAAACAAAAACAAAAATGGAGAGAGAGAGAGAGAGAGAGAAGAGAGAGGGACACACAAACACACATACAAAAAAAAAAAAAAAATCTTTTTAAGTAGTCATTGTACTCAAACTCGAGGCCACTTAAACAACAGTGTCATAAAAACATAAAATGACACAACAATTAAAGTTCTATATCAAAATCTATATTAGAATCCAAAATGATTATATAGCTCACCTTCTCGGATAGTCAATGCTTTGTAGTAATCATCTTCATTATCGTGCCCCTCTTCATCATCACACCATCGCTGTGTGCTTAACTAACTGATTGTTAAGACCACCTTAATTGGATAATTTGAGGATCAATGTCATTCCTATGAAGTTAGATTGTGACGGGGTCTTCAACGCTGACTGGGACAACATCAGTTGTTTCATTCTGTTGGAATACATCATCAGGTTCAATGCCATCTTGTTTTGGTACATCCCATATTCCTCAATGTTTAGTCTTTCTACGACTTTCCAATGTCCACCTAACTTTGTCATCACACATAAAAAACTTTGTTCACATGACTTGGTAAGACAAATGGATCACTTTATACCATCGACTTCTAACATCAATACTTGTGGCAATGTGTATCGGTATGTAATGTTCTATTGCTACAGTGTTGAACCATTCGCATTGGAATAAAACAACTCGATATCCAAGTATGTAATGCATTTCCCACACTCTATTCAAGTACCCATAAAATTCAATTGTTGTCCCTCATGCTTCCCTTCCACAACTAACCAATGTTTTGGCATTTATGACTACCTATCATGATCCTCACTATGAAATCGAACACCATTCGAAATGCAAGCTTAATACAAATTAACATTCACATTAGGACCATTTGCTAATGACCATAAATCATCAGTTGCTTCTGGTAATCCTTGAGCTCGTAATTGGTTCATCTACATAATGACATTAATTTCAATCATTATGTTAGTCTTCATAATAAGTATAGCTGAATAAAGTCTAGGATTATATCTTACATGTTCTTTGAACCACTTGGGGAATTCTTTTTCTGTCTCTTGTGATGTCACGTGTACCTGATTTTCTAAAAGATTTTGTGTTGCCTACTTACAAATATATGATTGATAAGTAACATATTATATTGGAAAACATAATTCTACCACAAACCAATAATAAGAATGTACTCTAGATAATGGTCCAACTTGAGGCTATTATTCAAGATGAACCAATGAGCCATTTCACATTCTTCTAAGACACGTCAGAAAGCCCTTGTAATTAGCCCAAGAGGACAAACATTTTGTGTGAAGACCTCTAACCCCAACTCATGCACACCAACATCGACATTTCATTCATCTTGATTAACAATTTCAATGCACCCAGATACATTGAGCAAAATGTGAGACACTCCTTGACAACATAGCTTCTATGATCGAACCTTCTGGACGAGCTCAATTTGTGACATATCCTTTTAAAGTTCCAAGTAGCCTATGAAACAAGCAATAGGAATAATCTTATACACGCAC